TTTCCAAAATACTTTTGACAATCCCTCCACCCAAGCTTCTCAGTAAATAAAGCAACCCTGGAGTGAAAGAATAACTCCTTTTCTGGAGTGATGATGAACAAAGCAGCAGAAAGGTGAATGTTGGAATAAAAGATCAACCATCATAATGGAGGGGTTTGAATTGTTCATGATTATTTGGAATTCTATGTGAGCAATGTATGGCCAAATTATTTACGCCGTTTAAATCCAGGGATGGCCGCTGAGGAAAGAAGAAGAAGAAATACCGATTCCTTTCATTGGTTGATTGCATCTGACCTGCAAGGTTGATGGACCTTGAAAAAGTTTTGAGGTACTTGTGGGCACCATGACAGATATATCAGCTCAGTGGTCAGCTACTGTGGCAGTCCAATCCATGTTGAATATCACTAGTGAAGGAATTGAGAATGAACTTGTCGATATCTTTCTACCCATAAACAAATCTACAGTGTGAGCTCACTTCAGTTATTGCAAGAAGTTCAAGACAATGGCCCCTGAGAAAGAATATCATAGATGTGGAAAAAGGTCAGAAAAAAGCAGCCAGATAGTCATGCAAGAGGCTGTATTCACCTATGAGGTGACATTGCGGAATATTTGGAACATTATTTGGAACATTTATTTGGAACATTTGGATATTTGGAACATTTCAGCACTGAAAAAAATGTGAGGAAGGGGCATCCTGATAGAGGCACAGAAGTAATACCTTTTATGGAGAAAGGGAGGAAAAGCTCTCCCCCGCCCTCCTAGTTATGGACATTGGGATCATCCTGTGAATTTGACTGGTGGGATATTTGGGATGGAAAAAAGGAACTACTATAGGTCCCAGTTTTAAACTGTGGAATTTATTTGCACTGGAGGTAGTGCTGGCCTGCCTTCAGATGGCTGAAGGCCAGTGAGGAGTAGTGGTTCAGAGTGCTGGACTGGGAATCCAGAAGGTCCAGGTTAATGTCCCCACATGGAGATGAAGTTCACTGGGGAGCTCTCAACTAGTCACTGCCTCCCAGTTTAAATAAAAGGAAGAGTTCCTTGTTAGCCACTGGTGGGATATAAATACTGTATGATGATGATGATGATGATGATGATGATGATGATGAAGGGGAAGGGTTAATCATTGAAATTCAGCAAATGTGAAAATATACTGGATTGCCAGAAAAAAGAACAAGTTGGTCCTAGATCAAATCCAAGCAGAGCTTGCCCTAAAAAAAGGTGGGGGGCACATGCACAAACACACACACACACACACACACACACACACACACACAGTTGAAGCTGTCATATGTTGAGCACATCATGAGAAGACAACATGCCCAAAAGAAGACAATATTGCTAAGGAAAGTCAAAGGCAGAAGAAAAGGAAGACCAAAAGTAAGCTGGATTGACTCCACAAATTAAGGCAGGGACTTGACTTTCCATGAGCTGAACAGGGCTTTCATGGAGGTAACACTGAAGAGTACTCATTCAAATGTGAGAATAAATAAGAAACAGTCCAAGGGGACAGGACAACAGCCTAACAACAACAACCACACAATACAGAAAAGCAGAGTGCTAGTCCTTAGAAAAGTGTACAATTCAAACAATTCCAGAAGAGTTCCATAAAGTATTTGGCACTTAAAATGCACACACATTGTCCAACTGGATATTATCGTGAATACATTTTCTCATTGTAATCTTGCAAACAGTGTTAGAGGACAGGCTTGCCTTTTCCCCAAGGACACAGGGTGGGTTTCAAGCTCTGAATGCAGCATTTCTCCATGCATCAGTAGAACATGACTATGGCCCATTCATTTAGTAGACATCTTTACATACAGTATGTCAAAAAAGGACTGTAAAGACTTAACACCCCTTTCCCTCTCCAAAATATTTGGGGCTAATGCTAGAAAGTAACAGCTTGGTTCTCACACCAAGCAACTCTGCCTGAGTCCACCCTTCACAACTTCCTCACAAATGTTCCACAGTGCTTTTAATTCTACCTTCTTTAGAAAAGCTGAACCCAAAATTCATCCACCTACTTGCTGTTAGAATGAGCAGGTGTTTCTAAGTCAGAGATGACATGATGGCTACTAACAACAGTAAGGCTATGAATGAGAGGGAAGCTTTGCCATGGCTGCAACGGTGAGGCCACCCCTGAGGAAATGCCACCATGACTCCAGCCTGGGTATTCTAATGAGTGCTGAAGTAACGGGGCCTTTCTCCTTCAAAATGGAACCATGCAAGCCATTGCCAGCCATGAGCAAGCATAGAGTGTTGGATGCTGCCTTTGTGTTCAGAGAACTCCCACTTTTCCTTTGGAGAAGACAAGAGAAAAAAGCCCAGATGTGGAATCCCTAAGGATGATGAAGGGAGCAGAAATATGGGTGCTCTCCAGGAGATGGGGACAATTCCAGTGCAGGTGGGGAAGCACTGAACTCACCATTCGACCCTGTTCAAGGGGGACTCAAAGAAGACATAGGGTTGCTGCTGCTGAAAAAACTGGGAAGAAATGACTCCACTCAGCAGGTAGTCTCCTGGCTGGTGATATAGGAATGCTCCATCTCCATATAGGTTCCAGGGACACTCCACCTCCCCTCTCTCACAGGCTGAGTGAGGCAGCAGCAGTAGCAGCCCGAGCAGAAGCATCATGACTCTGATAGACTGCCAGAGATCCCTGGTGGTTGCTCGCGTTGCCTGCATTCCCAGCTCATCCAGATAGTCAGGAAACTCTTGCCTCATGGCTTTCCTTTAGCTCTTGGCTAGTGTGGAACTTGAATGTAGAAAGAAACTCCTGTACAGCTATAATCAGTCCTGAGCAAAGCAGGCTTTTAGTGACTTCCCAGAGGCCTCTTCCCTTTATCTCTTTGCCTGCTATAATTCTCATCTCGAGCCCTCTACAGCACCACAGGCATTTTATGCACCGAGCTTCTCAGCACAGTGCAAGTGCTTGCCTGATGCAGGTCTTGATTTTGAGGTTTTGTTGATTACCCTCAAAAGCAATCTCAAGGATTTCTCCAGGGCTTTGGGAGGATTCAAAGTAACTCTCCATGTTTGTGAACATCCCAAAGGATAGGCAGAAGGGTGCATAGTACACCAATAGAATCCCCAATCTTTCTCGGTCATCCAATTCCAAGTGGAGGCACTCCAGCCCCGATCTCGAGAGGACAGGAAGCCCCACAAGAGAAATAGAAGCTCGATAAACCAGAGCGACCCCCCCTCCCCTCTCCTCCAGGCATGGTCGGTGCTGGACCAGGTACCCGGGCGGGCACAATTATGAGAGGGAAACATCCCCCCTCCCCCACCCAGGTCTCTGTTATGCAAGCAAGGTCAGTCCTCTCATCCTTGATCAAGTCATGAATGAGTATTACCTTATTTTGGACTGACCTGGCATTAAGCAACAGCACCGACAGGCCCAGGGGGCAGTTGACAAGTCTATCTGGAACCTGCCGGCTGGGAGAATAACCAGAAAGAGGGACAGGTGTTAACCATCTGTCCCTCCTTCTTCTATGCTCTTCTATGCATAGCTGCCATGGCGCAGAGCCATAGTCCCCCAGCACCACCTTCTGGAACCGGCCATTGAGATAGGAGCAGAAACACTGCAAAGCAGTGCCTCCAACACCCAATCCTGCAAGCCTATCCAGAAGGATACCATGATTGATGGTATCAAAAGCCACTGAGAGGTCCAGGAGAACCAACAGGGACACACTCCCCCTGTGTCTCTCCCTGCACAGGTCATCATGCAGGGCAACCAAGGCAGATTCAGTACCGTACCCGGGTCTGAAGTTGGACTGAAATGGATCCAGATAATCCGTTTCATCAAAGAGTGCTTGGATTTGTCCCACCACCACCCACTCTAACACCTTGCCCAGGAACAGGATGTTGGCCTCTGGTTTATAATTGGTGGCCAACTCTGGATCCAGGGATGACTTCTTTAGGACTGGCCAGATTACCGCCTCCTTTAAAGGGGCATGTACCTGGCCGTCCCTCACAGAGGTGTTGATGACCTCCAGGATCCAGGTCCCAATCCTGTCCTTGGCTGTCCCCTCCCTCTGTCCAGGCATGATAAGCCATGGGTTATTCTGGTAATGACTAGGGTTGGGATGAGGCCTAGGGGAATCCACCTTTCTAGCATGAATGAGCTTCTGCTATGGCTAGGCCCTGTATTGGAAAATAAGCCAAGATTAGAGAAAATCTGCAAGCACTTTCAGAAGAAAGCTTGTATAACAGGGAGGTGGACAGAAGGGGGATGCTGCACAGGCAGTGGTAACGTGGGACTCCACCCCTGGGGATCAGCCCACAAAAGCTGGTCAGGCATTCACAGTCAGGACACTACAAAGTGAGCCTGAGTATAGGGGCCAAACCAGGATATGCAGTGGATTCCTTGCCTAGTGGCAGTCAATTGATTACTCAAAGAGCCCTGGAAACAACCAACGATGCACTCAGGTTTGTTGGAGCAGCTTTTGTCGATGGGAAGAGCTGATTCCAAACCAAAAAGACACACTAAATCTAGTCTCCACCCTCACGAAGGTCCATGCCTGTGTGCAGCTGCAAATTATTCCAGAAAAGGATGGTCAGCAAATGGTTGGAGTCCTTTTAACCATTGTTTGAGAATCTGCAGGGGGTATGAAAGGAGTGTGCCGGTTGCACAAATGGTGGGAAGTGTGTCTGGGAGGTTTTGGAGATTTGCTCTCAGCTCAGTTTGCTTTGGAAGGCCAGGCCAAGCACAAGACAAAGCCCGTGGATACTCCAGTAGGTTTACCTGAGCCCTACTATGGGGATAGAAATAAGAGGAGATGAAGGAAGAATGTGTAAGCTTCCTGAGATCACTGAAAGGAAAATGGGATAAGAAAGGAAGGAAGGAAGGAAGGAAGGAAGGAAGGAAGGAAGGAAGGAAGAAAGTCTTCCTGGAGGAACATGCCCCAGATCTGAAACCTATTTCTTTCATCTGCAACATAAGATGTGATTCCTATCCAATGGGTGCTGGCAGTGGAATCCTTCAGCATCTCATACACCAATCAAGTGCCATCTTTAGTTTTGATTGTGAGATGCTGCTTTGTATTCAGATCAGGCCTCAGGACAATAATGTAGCACTTGGGAAAGAAAATGCAGCCAAGTAACCCAGCACTGGAGGCCAGGATGGAGAAGACCTGCACTGATACCATGTACTTCCCCTTGGTGCTCAGGTAGGAGGGCACGAAGGACACCCAGACACTGAAGAAGACCAGCATGCTGAAGGTGATCAGCTTGGCTTCGTTGAAGGCCCCTGGAAGTTTCCTGGCAAGGAAAGCCACTGTGAAGCAGATGGCAGCCAGTAAGCCCATGTAGCCAATGGCTGTGTAAAACATGGTCACAGAACCTTCACTGCATTGCAGAATTATCTCTTCAGGCAAGGTATGCTTGTCAGCATCAGGGAAAGGTGGAGCCATACCCAGCCAGATGAAGCAGATAGCCACCTGTACACTGGAACAGGAAATTACAATGGAGCGTGCAAAACTTTTCCCCAGCCATCTCTTCACTCTATTCCCAGGCTTGGTGGCCAGGAAGGCCAGCACCACAGTGATAGTCTTGGCCAGCACAGAAGACACAGCCACTGAGAAGATGATGCTGAAGGCTGTTTGTCGCAGCAGGCAAGTTGCTTTGCTTGGCTGCCCAATGAAAAGGAGGGAGGACAGGAAGGAAAGTAGGAGGGAAACCAGGAGGACATAGGAGAGGTCCTGATTGTTGACCTTGACTATTGGAGTTTCTAGGAATTTGATGAAGATTCCTAACACAAACCCTGTGGTCAAAGAAGAGATGAGGGCAAAAAAAGTCAGAAGGATACCCAAAGGTTCTTCATAGGAGAGGAAGGTTATCTCCCTGGGGATGCATAGATCTTGGCCTTTGTTTGGGTGCTGATCTGCTGGACACCTTTTGCAATGCTCTGCATCTGGAAAGAAGAAAAGCATATTCAGCATTGTCACCCCCAGTGGGACATCCAGAACAGGCTGAGTTCTTCCAAGATGTAGTGAAGATGAGGACTTGGGTAATGTTGGGGAAGAATCATATATGGCCTGTCAGACAGAGGGGCAAATCTTCTCTGGAAAGAGAAGGAAATTTTGCTTAGAGAAGTTGTCAGGGACAAGGACTGAATATGTTATTTCTGAGGGACAGGAGGGATCTCCTGACAGTCCGAACCAAACAGTCATTATGTATTCCATGATTTGATGGTACTTGACTGTGCAAAGCCCAACACAGTTCAGAAAAGCTGATCTGCTCAGTTTTTTTAATATCTGTACTGCTTTGGGGTCCATTGGCCTGGCTCAATCTTGGTATTAACAATTTGAGTAGCAATTCTTCCCCAAACCTCCATGGTTTCTCTTTAGAAAACGTCAGATATTTGGCTAAAGTTGTTTGTTTATCCATCCATCCGTTTGCCATGAGGCCCAGCAGTAGACAGGGGCCCAGGTGATGTGGGTTCCTTGTCCCCACTCAGCCATGAATCTCCCTGGGTCACTTTGGGCCAGATGCTCTCAGGGCTGTTTTTGCACAGATAAAGTAGAAGGAGGAGAAGATTTCAGCCACCTTCAGATCCTTGCAAGAAATACAGAGACTAGGACAATGAAGAGTACTCTGCACAGATATCTGGAGCCCCCTCTGTGCAGAAGAGGAAAAGCCCGGACTCTGGAGATGGACCAGCCTTAGTCCCTTTGTTGCAGAGCACAGGGAATGCCAATTGAACCAGGGTCAGAGAAACCTGCTACATGCATGGACCTCCCAGCCTTTTATCACAGCTCACTTCATGCTATTGTGAATGGCCATCAGAAATGAGGAGGTAAAGGAGGGATCCAGGACTCCACTGGTCTGCCAGAGGCTCCATTCGCAGGTGGGACCCTCCATAGATACATTAGCATTTTCTGCTTTGGGGATCCATAAAATTGGGAAGAAACAATCAGTCCTGGAAAGGTTAACACAGCAATTCTAGAGGAGAAGCTCTGGTGTTTGGTCCTGATAGATGAATACTCCTCTCTGCCCAATCAAATGGAAGTTTTGACCCTCTCCCATGCAAACAGTGGGCCTCTTGGGAGAGGGGCTGCACATGCAACCAGTTTGCACGGGCAGATTGCAATGGGCTGGAATGCAGCACCTTTGGGCACCGTCCTGAGTTTCTGGGACATGAATAGGATTGATCATGATGTAACTGATATAATTTCTCACCCTAATCCTTTGGGAAATGAAACCATGAGAGAGGGGGAATTCATCACAATTGAAATAAATAGCAAGCCAATGACATTTGAACAGATGAAGTGTCTGGGTCAACGAAGACTTCTTCATCAAGTATTGTGGTCACATCACCTGTCCCAACAGGTTAGCCTTCCAGACTGGGGCCTTCCATGGGTAGGGTGCCTCAAGAGAACAGGCTCCCCTTCTACTCACTGCACACTTCCTTTGGGATGCTAGTGAGATCCACAACACAGCTGTAGGGAGTGGGCCAGGTACTTGCTCTTTGTGGAGAGGGATACATCATTGGATTCTGAAAGGGGGAAACACATGGTGGGGTGAAATAAACATTGAGGCTCCTTCCAGGTTGCTTCCTGAATTTTCTCAGGTCAAGTGTGAGGGCAGGCCCAGATTGAAGGAGACCGAAGAGGTTTAGGAGAGGAGGAAAAGGAAGTTCAGGACAATGTCCTTCATCCTACAAGGACCCATCAGAAGATGCAAGCTGCCCAGTTGGAGGGCCAGCGTATATCACACCAGCAACCTCTCCACATCAAGCTCCCTGAGAGTCAGATGTGGAGTTTCCAAAGTGGAGGGATTCAGAAGTTCCAGTTTGGGTTCAGCTCTTGACATGAACAAAGGCTTATCCTTTCACCTTAATAAAGGCTGCTTACATTCTCTCAGTCTTGTTAGTTGTGGAGCTGTAGTAAAAGTCTGTGTTGCAAAACATGGTCTTGTGTTTTGGAATCAGAGGAAAAGGAGGGAAGAGACTAGCTCACAACAACAGCCACCAATTAGTCAGAGAGAGTTTGGGCAGGCTTGATGATCAGTTGCAAACCCTAAGTACAGCCTTTCCTAGGAAGGTACCCACCTTCCTGAGTAGAGATGGTCCCTTCTGCACATGGAGCGCATGCATAGCAGCAGGGTGACTTCCCTTCCTGAACCTCCTTGGTGTATCCTGGCTGACAGCTTGCCACACACCTGGAAGGAGGCACCACCTGGCAGGGAAGAGACAGAGCTGCAGGGAAACTATGTCAGGAGTGTGCTTTTGTGGACATGAACCACAGAGATTGGCAGGGTCCCACATGTTCTGCAGTCCCAGCAACACCAGCAACTTTTTGAGTTATTTCCCATGCAGCAGTTTTGTTCACAACAGCAGGGCATTCAATGTTTTTCCTCATGTAAAGCCATCCTTTTCATAAGAAAGTATGGCCAGGGCAGGGTACAAAACTGAACTGCACAATGTTGCAAGAGAAATACTGGAATCAAATCAAACCCTCCCCTAAAATGACAGAGGTGACCCACAAAACTTTAGAATTGCTATGGGAAAACAGAGTGGGGAAGAGTTGCAAGAAATGTTCTCCCTCGAAAGACCTCACAAATAGGAAAGTGGGCAGGAAATCACCAAGAGAACTCTACTCTTCAGAAAGATTTGTCCACAGCCCACAGTGCTGGAAAGGAAAGTGGGGAGAGAGAATCCTGTTTGGAGAATGACTTCATCTTACAGGAAACACAAATGAGGAACTTCCTTTCTGCTCTTCGTTGCTTTCTGCTTTAATCATGACCATGAAGAGGAGGAGGGGGAGGGGGAGATTACCTTGAATGGGTAATTGAGACCACTTGGAGTGCATCCAGTGAATCCAAATGCTTCACACCCCAAAGCAGGAAGGGTGTGGAGACTAAGATGCTCCCGAGCCCCTGCTCCAGATAGAAGCTTCCCTTTGCTAGGACATCCTCTCTATGATTATGCAATGGGGAAGACCCATTATTTTCAACGGGATTTCCTCCCCTAGAAAAGTGTGTACTGAATGACAGTGGATGCCTTGCATGTCATATCCCACAGATTAATAGAACTTCACTCAGCCACAGGCCAATGATAGGACAGAAATTATTTTCCCTACCTTGTTAAAATTCTTGGGCCACACAATGGCACCTGGGTTAATGCTGAGTTGTTCCCCTGGAAATGCACCACTCGTCCAGCTACCAATGGTCACTATTCCAGGGCTACAATTGGGAAACAGCACCCAGTTTACAATATCAAAGTCAGCTTGCAGCTGTCCATGCTTGTCCAAATGCAGCCCAGCCATGGAAGTGTTAGAGTGCCGGATTCCCCTTAAGAAGGCATGGAACTAGAATGACAGAGAAGGTAATATGTATGGATATTTTGTGTTTTAGACATCCTTGCACAGGTCTTCCATGAACTGAGGCCAAAGCACCTCCCATCTGCACTCAGAGTAGTTGGCCATTATTGGTGTGTCTCAGCTGAGACTCCTTCTTGAATCTCCTTTCTTTTTTCTCTTAGCATTTTTCAGGGGTTCAGAGGAAAGTGCATTTGCTCCCAGCTTATTTTAGAATCCATGCTCAGGTAGCATTTTGAGGGGAGTGCAAAGGCAGAAGAGTGGGCTCACATTTCCCTTCTGTATTGCCAGGTAATAGGCAAGAGGATGTCGTATAACACGTGCTTCCTGAACTGACCCTGGAACATTTTGGCATTTACTGTGAACCCAAAACAAGAAAGAAGAGTACCTGCCATGGTTGCAGCCTCTGCACTTCGTGCCTGACTCCTTTTCCAGCCATCAATACCCTCTTGGATAGAGACAAAGATGCATCATTTAAAGCATGGGCTACCAATTGGATACTGTTGTAAGTGTGGAAGCTGTCTTGAGAAAAGACTCTTTCTAGCTCCTCCTGGGGCAGCATCTCCAGAGTCTCCTTCTGTCTGTAGCTTGACCAACTTTTCATGGAAAAGGTGTGATCTGAATAGAAACAATGAAAAGCATTCTGCCAAAACCGTACCATAGAATAAGAAAATAGATTGTAATTGTCAAGTCTTGTCTTCTGGAGGCTCTTTATGATGAATGACAAAGAACCATGGAAAATCTGAAAGGAATCAGGAGGCAAAGATAAGTACAAATTAATGTCTGCCACAGTGGTTGTGATCCAGACCTTTCCTCCAATATGTTCCCTTCTAAGTATCTCTTGCATCCTGAAAATTGGACCACGACCATAGTGAGAGTCTACATAGAAAACAGCTACATTCACTTGACCCCACACAACAGAGAGCTCCTTCTGAGTCATTCTTAGTATGTTTTTTCGTGGTATCCTTTTTGTGAAGGCAATGCAAAGTCCACAACTGATCATCAATGGAATCACCGACCTCACAAATGTTTCTCCATTGTCAGTGTCTGGGGCAAAGAGACCGATCCACATCCAACCAAAACTTGCAACCAGTTGGACAATGCCCAAGTATTGGGTTTCTTCCTTTGGGGCCATCCGGTAGATGAATGGGAACTGCGTGTGATCCTCTAGGACAGGGTTAACCAAGCCGTAACTGATCTAATGAAGAGAGGAAAAGCCTGGTAGTTTGCACTGAGCATAGCAGTGAGCATGAGAATCATATGAACATGAAATCTGTGACCAAAACCCTTCATAAGGGAAGCAGAACTGAGGAAAAAGGGAGGGCTAAAAGATCTCACAGTTCTCATCTGTATCAATTCATTATTTGCTTTGTGAAAACGGGGTCCTTTTCTTTAGAGATAAGAGAACCTAGATCTGAAAGTGCCTTATATTTCATTATGTACTATTATATTTCAATGTATTTTATCATGTTGTAAGCCGCCCCGAGGTTTCGGCAAGGGGCGGCATAGAAATGTTATAATAATAATAATAATAATAATAATAATAATAATAATAATAATAATAATAAAGACAGGGCCTGGCAAGGCAAGCCAGGACAAGATCAGCATCTCAATGAGCCTATATTCCTTTTTGTTTTGGAGTGAGTGGAGATCTCATTTTTCCAAGCATTGATGGAGGTAGTGCCTGTTTGACAGTTCCTTTCTTCCTCAGGAAAAACACCTCTGTGAGAGAAATGGCTGGATTTGTCTATGTCTCCAAATAACAATTAATCATTCCATGAACAGGCCAAGTGGTGGCTATCAGTGTCCTTTTAAACTAGATTCTGGGCATTCCAGCAGCTCAGACTGTGATCTTTTCATGATTTTGCTTTGCCAAGTTTTTGTAGCTTACCGAAAAGAAGGATCATGACATGTTTTGACCAAATTGTCATTTAAAAACTTGTTCATTCTGGGTTTAGTTTTTCTCACTTTTCACCAATGTGTCTTACACATTGTCATACTGTTTTAAGACTTGAATATTTTGATATTGCACATCCACCTTTTCATTCTGCCTGAAGACACCTGCACCATTGTTTTTTGCCTGTTTACTCATCTGTATGGAACAACATGAACTGGTGCCATTTGCTCAATTAGCTTTTGCTGGATTTCAGTATTCCAAGGACAAGTTTGCTGGCTTGTCATTGCCTCCCAATTTCACAGCACCAGTTCCCAGTTGCAACATCCTTGACAGAGGACATGTTTCCTCTTTGCACAAGGGTGCTTTGGGAAGAGGGCTGAGCTGTGCCAGTGCTATCTGGATTTGGGTGGAGCTGGCCTCTCTTTCCTTCACAGGGCTCACCTGAGGAATCTTGTAGATGCCTGACATGGCTGAAATAAGGGTGGAAACATCCAATTCAGTTCCTTCGAGAATGGCCAGCAGGTTCTTCCTCTTCCCACAGATAAAGTTGGGAATGTGGCTTCCCCCACCAGCAGGAAGGCCTAGCATGGCATAGGAAGTTGTTCTTCCATCAAAATGGCTCTCATAGATGTCGTAGCCCAGGCTGATGTTGGATAAGAGCCTGGGGTTCTGGTTGATCTCATGGATGGAAAATAAGAAGGACAACATGCGCCAGTACCTCACAAGTAGCAAACTGCAATGCAAGCATTATAAAATCAGGACTCATTCTACAAGGATGATTTAGAGGAAGTTAAGAAGACATAAAGAAAAGGATTACTTCACAGGGCACACAGATGAATGATAGGATTCATTTGCAGCTGGTAGTGAGGGATATGTAAGGAATCTGGGTTCTGCAGAAAATTTGTTGGATTCCCTGGTTTTGACTTCGTGAATGCCAGACCTCTCGGCATCACCCAAGATGGTGCACAAGCAGTGCCACTCTTCCATGCCCACCTCTGCCATCTACATCAGTGAGTGGGGAAGAACCTTTTTTTGCGGAGGAATGGTGGCTGGCATACCCACTTGCTGTGCCCCTTTTTGGCATCTTGCAGATGCTCCTGATGGGGAAGGTTCCATTTGCACAACTTCATCTTGGCTCAGCTCACTTTGCAGGATTGGGCCAAGGAGGAGAGGAAGTCTGTGGTTTCTGAAAGGGTCCATCCCAACCCTAGGCATGTCACCAATTCTGATGGCTTCAGCAGAACACATTCTTGGAAAAGGAGAACAGTTAAGATTACATTTTGTTGCCTTTTCTATCAAAGGCTAGTCTTGGGACAAACCTTTCCAGAATCCGTCCCTCCAAGTTTTGGCATGCTTTCTGTTGTGTTCAGCCTGGCCTTGCAAAGTGTGCCAAGCTGAACGGGAGATCATAGATGCCTGGGTAGGCCCAGTTGTGCAACCTTCCATGATAGTTGCAGCCACAAAGCATAGGGAGCAGGGGATAGACAAGGGGTCTGGGACTACGGTCTCTCTCCAGGAGATGCGTACAACTAGAAGGCAGGCTGGGAAGTATTAAATGACTCACCTCTCAACTCGGTTGAAGGGGGACTCATAGAAGTCATAGGGCTGCTGATGCTCAAAATATTGTGAAGACAGAAGCCCACTGATAAGGTAATCTCCTGGCCGATAATAGTTGGATGCTCCTTTCAGATACAAATCCCAGCAACACCTTTTCTGCTGAAGTCTGGAAACAACACGGTGCGGCAGTAAGAGCAGCAGGAGCAGCCGTGTCAGGATGTGTCTCCTCTTTGTCCAGCTGTTCTGCATGGCTGCTCTGCTCACCTCCATGTCCAGTTCATTAGAGGCAGCCAGAAGAGACTTGCTTCATGGTACTTACCAAAGCCAGGGGTCCTGAGACAAAGGGGAGTTCTTTCAAGTTTCCCACAGGTGCATTCAACACACCACCAGTTCCATATCTCCCCTCAAGATCTCAATAGTGGAGCACATATTTTGCACAATGAGCTTCACAGGCACAGGTGAAGTACTTTGCTGAGATAGCTTTTGAGGACAAGGTTTCCTTCACTGTGCTGAAAGACAGTCTCAAGCAGTCTCAAGAAGGTGCCTAGTGCTGAGGCAGGACTCAGGTGAAATCACCATGCTTTGGATCATCCTCAGGGACAGAAGCATCCTCCGTGCAACTGGGCGCAACTGAGGTCCCAGGGCACAGCAGCCCAGAGGGAGAAAAACAGGTTTGCAAGGACTCTTTGCTGCAGCTTCATCTTTTGGAAATGGGGAGGGAAAAGGGAACATGCCCTGTCCTCTCCTGGAGTCCCTCCAGCCAAAGGGACTGGATGAAGAACATTTTTGGAGATGAACCAAAGAGATATAACCATGTGTCCCTTTGCAGATTTCTTCACTGAGGAGACTGAAAGCCCACATTGGCTTTCTCAGGCTGGTACACACGTTCCTTCTCCTCCTTCTCTCTACACACAATCAGCTATGCATTGTGGATTGTTGTGGCAAAACCAGTTTCGAGATGAAGCCAGGTAGAAATCATCCCTCGAGCATTCACAGCATTCCTCTTTTGCTTGGCTTAGGCTTACAAAATGAGCCAAGCCACAAACACTCAAAGAAGAATGGCTGGGGAACCAGCAAGCTTCCTTCATGTCAGGAGTTGCAGGCAGCATGGATGAGGTGCTTGGGCAGAGGTCACACAGGTCACCATCCTAAGCCAGCCCCTGGTGCTAGTCTTCCAGGTTGTGTGCAGAAGTGCTGCTGCAGGAGGCAAAGAAGAGGAACACTGCTTGGGCAGCAGCGGTTGGGGCTCCATTCTAGGAGAGCACCCTGTGGAAACTTTTGAAGCCCACCCTAGAAAGCCAGTATAAAAACTAGTTTCAGTGGAAAGATCTAAAAATAAAATAACAGAGTTAATGCAAAGAAAAGCTGAAGAAATCCATCTGCCTTGAAGAAGACAAAAGTCTTCACCTGGCACTGCGAGATCATAAGGAAGGTAGCCAGATAAACCACCCTGGATAGGGCATTGTACCACCTGAGGGCTACTCCAAAAAATCCCTTCACCTTAGGAAGAACCTGATTCACTTGATTTGCACTAAAAGAAGGGCTGCTATGAAAGTCCTCAGAGTATGGACATATATATTATGAGGAAGACGGCCCTTTAGGTAACATGGCAGCCCTCTCCAGAACAGTTTGGATACCTTTTAACCAGAAGACAAAACACCCACTAACAGTCATGCTGGATTCAAATGCAATGACAAGCCACAGTCATCCCTATTATGGCATTTCTGGAGGACACTTTGAATTTTTAGAAAGTGTGGTTAGAAAGCAGTCCATACTATGGTTTCCATGCTTCACCATGGTTTCTCAGATCATCTGAACTTGTTGTCAAGGCTTTCATGGTCCTGCTATGCAGGTATCACATTGGCCCCTTGGAAGAACAGCAACTCATGCAGAAGATCCATCCATCCTTCAGCTACAGGCTGATGGGATATGGGTCCAAAAGTGGGAAGTCTGAATGAGGAGTTCTGACATGTAAACTCAGCCATTCTCAGTCTTATCTAGATTGAATCCCAGTGACCTCGCAATCAGGAAAACCATTCCTAAGCCCTTGCACTAGTTGAGAGCATCTACAGATTCATTTGTATTTTTTGAAAAGGGGAGAAGAAGCTAGGAGTCATTGGCATAACAGTGACACGTTAGCTGACACTGATGGAGAATCTCCACTAACAGGTTCAAGGAGCTGCTGAAAAGCATGGGGGATGTACCTAATCCTTGTGGTGCCCTATGGCGTATCTTCCAATGCACAGAGAAATAAGCCCCATTGTCATCTTCTGGAACTGCCTATTACATAAGGAGAGCAGGGGCTCCATCTGCTGGGGTTCTTTATTGGATGCAAAATTATATTCCTATGGACACACCCATCGTGGGCCTTGTTTATTTAAGTGTGTGTGTGTTTAAATATGCCAGCTATTATACTAACAGCATCCCTAGGTGGCTCACAATATTAAAATTTAACAGCAACCCTAGACAGTTCATTTCCTTTTTGTTAAACCGACCCTTTCCCTTTCCAGGCCACCCCATTTCTCCGAGTCTGCCTCACCATTTTGGCCCTGGCATGTGCCCCCCCCCCCCATTCTCACAGGCTACAGTGCTTGGACCTTGGGAACCACACAGGATTGATTGTCGCATTTTCCAAGCCCAGTCACAGTGCTGTGCTGTAGAGCCAAGAAAACTCTGGGTGGGATGGAGACCCAGAGTTTGCTTTTGGTCTTTGAGCTCTGGCTCCTGGAGCAGAGCTCTCAGCTTCCCTGGACCAGGCAGGGAGGGCAGTGCTGAACTACAGAGCAACTCTCTTGCAGGTCTGTGTTCTGGCCACAAGAGACATGGCATCACCATCTTTGCTGAGATTGCATTTTCAGGTTTCTCCGAACAGGCCTTTCTGGGCCCTGTGCAAAAATTCCTGGAACCACTTAGTGTTGTGAGCCATTCTGTACGATGCCTGGGTGCCTAATGGCTGAAAACATGTGGTTCCTTGCTTAACTTGGACTAAAGCTCAGCTGAGGGTGGATGCTCCCCGTTCCCTCAGTGCCTTTTTCCTCTTCTAGTAATTCACCAATTCAAGGGTGATGCATGAAGCCAATGCTGGGGGATGTGGGTCCCCCAAGGCGGCAGACTCCCAGTCAGCAATGGAAGGGCATGATGCCAGCCACAGTTACTTTGGTGGAGCAGGACAGATCAACCCATTCCCTGATGCAGCAGCCATAAATCAATTGTATTATGGTTTGGGATCAGCATGGCATGAGATTATTTTCTTTGTTTCCAGCTTTCCTGGAGAAACAGAATTAGCAAATGACCAGCCAACTCCCACCTTCACTTTGGCACTGGATGGTGGAGGGTGGGTTTTCACCAATGCATGTGGGGAAAGCCATGGCTTCCAATCTGAAAGGAATGGCTGGAAGCTTCACCCCAGCAGAGCCCTCCCTTCCCTGCCCAGCTCCCCTGATTCTCAGGACAGAACCTCAGGAGCACAGCAGTCATCTTGGCACCACTCATGCCTGGACTTCTGCAGCCTCAGTGAACATGTTCTGCATTGAGCATGAGATGCTGCTGTTGACATTCTTGAGCAAAAAGAGGTCTCAGGGGGAATCCCTCAAGGTTTGGAGAGAAGCAGCATAAATCACTGTGATTGTGGTAATTTGTGAGCAGAAGCCTCAGCACTGTAGGGCTCGATGCAGCTCCAGGAGCAGTGCAGGGAGGGGGAAATGTCTCTGAAAAGCTGCTGACCTCACCCCGGATTCCATGCAAAGGCAGCAAATGGAGCATGTGGTTTGGCCTGGCCTTAGACAGAGACCCAATGCTAGCGGATGCGGCCAAGTTTCTCCTTTTTGTTGTTGGAATGTGCTTCTCCTAAGTCAGGATCTGGCTACCTTCTCCACTAGTGTCTATTGTGATAAGCAGCATCTCCAAAAAAAATCAGTCTGGGAAATGTCAGGAAGCCTCGATGGCAGCCACAACAAGGATTAACCAGGTTCAGTCAGGAAAGACCCCTTTCTCCTTGAACCACGGCAGTTTTACTGAAAGATCACTCAGGACCCCTGCAGTTATTTATGACAGCATGCTACCAGGTAGTGGATCTCACCTCCAACTACAAAATCACAGCCCATGTACAGACCCTTTTATAACCTGCTAGTCACATACACCAATACAGAGAGTTAAGTGTCCAGATAATGTTAGTACAATGGCATCCTATTGTTGTTAGACATGACATGATGTTCTAAACCAATCAGAAATACTGGTAACAATAGTATGGAAAACATTACTTTTTGCTTTATTGACCTGTCAATTAAATAGACCACTTTGCAGTTTGGATTATACTTAAACATGCAAACGTGTCTGACTGAGGAACCATTCAGGCAATCTGGTTTGACAACTACCTTGTCTTGCCTCTGTGGGACTAGATGTGGGACTAGATGCTTAGGTGGGTCCATTCAGAAACAAATGGACACCATTGCTTCAGTTTTTGTGCAGCTGATGAGAACAAGTATTTCTTCACTCATAATGTTACCTACAGCAGCTTCTCAGTCCAGTTAAAAATTCCATCTTCTTAAAGGAACAGCAGCACTAATCAGTGACATGGCCTGGAATTCTGCTGCTTTGTGAGAAAGAGATGTAGATTTGATTTTATAATAGAAAGGCACATATAAGCAACCCTTTTTTGAAAGGATTCATCAGAATTTTCCCAACAGAAACAAGGCTGAGTGCTCATCAAAGGTGCATTCTCAAATTGGAGCTAACTAGTGAATTGTTGCAGGGTTCAGTCCTGGGACCAGTGCTCTTCAACATCACTATTAATGATTTAGAAGAAGTACACAGAAAGAGAATCAGATTTGCAGATGATAAAAAACTGGGTGGAATACCAATCTACCTAGAAGAAAAAATGAAGATCAAGAGTGATCTTGATAAACTTGAACACTGGTCTGGGCTGAAAGCAACAGAATGGGATTCTGTAAGGACAAGTACCAAGTGCTACATCTACAAAAAAGAAACCAAATGCATCAATACAATACATGGCTCAAAAGAACCCGCAAAAGAAAAAGATCTCAGAGTAATTCTGTACAAAAGGCTAAATATGAGCCAACATTGCAATGCAGCTGCCAAAAGGAAATGATATTTTGGGATGCATTAACAAAAGTATTACTTCCAAGTCATGGGAAGTAGTAGTTCCTCTATACTCCTCACTAGTCAGATCTCATCTGAAATACTCTGTCCAGTTCTGGGCACCAAGATTTAAGAAAGATGCAGAAAAATTAGAAACGGTCCAGAGGAGGGAA